CACCCGAGCACTAATCTCAGCGCCAGTCAATGGTCTAGGCGCAATATCCTCTTCCACGGTTCCATCGAAAGCCTTTTTCTGCCTACGATACGAGTGATCACGCCTAATGAACCTTCGAGTCCGTAAGTAGACATCTTTGTGAGAATGAGTCAGGTATACGCTTGATGTGTCATCAATACATATGGGGCATGCTTTTTCCCTTTGACCTTGTACCCACACAAGTTTCCATATGCAGGGAAGTCATTCATGGTCCACATAAGGGCTGCACGCAATATGAACATCTTGTTCTGATGAGCATCGAAAACGGAAACCCCTTCGTCCCACATCTTTCTCAAGTCGTCAATAAGCGGGCGCAAGGTAAACATCTATGTCGTTTCCAGGTTGCTTAGGACCAGTTATTAGCAATGAAAGCATTACATACTTACATTTCATGCACAGCCAAGGAGGCAAATTATAAATCACTAAAAGTATCGGCCATGTGCTGTGTTGGGTACTAAGAGTGCCAAATGGATTCATCCCGTCCGTGCACAACCCAAGCCTTAAATTTCTGACTTCATTACCAAATTCCTCAAACTTCAAATCAATGTTCTTCCACTGTGGAGAGTCAGCTGGATGCTTCAGCATTCTGTTTTTCTTTCTTCCCTCTGCATGCCACCTCAAGTTTTTAGCGTCTTTTTGTATTGAGAACAGACGCTTAAACCTTGGAATAATGGGAATATACCATAACACCTTAACAGGAGGTCCCTCCGTGCCAGGATTGCAACTCATGCGCTTGTACCGCGACCGCTTGCATCGTGGACACTCCTGCAGTTGTTCATACTCATTTCGATACAGAATACAGTCATTAGGACATGCATGTATCTTCTTATACTCCAAACCAAAGGGATACATGAGCTTCTTTGCGTAATAGTAAGACTTAGGAATTTCATTCCCATCAGGCAACATATCACTTAATGCGGTCAACAAAGAAGTAAAACTGATGTCCGTCCAGCCATGCTTCGACTTAATGATGAAAAGTGTTAGCACGGACGATAGTTTAAAGTATTTTTTGCACCTGGGATACAAAGGCTTTTCGGAAGCCTCCGATAATAACTCAAACACTTCACCTTCAACACCATGCAACATCTCATCCACTTTTTCATCCTCAACCTCATCCTCCTGATCATCATCGGCTCCATCCTCACCATTATCAACAGTATAGTCATCATTCTCGTATTCCTCGTCCACATGAATCTCATTGATTCTAATACGCACATCATTCCGATCAAGATCCCCACTGTACTCTCCACTTTCTCTGTGCCAAATCCACACATGGTATGATTGCCTAAACCCACGACATAATACATCTCTAATGATTTCAACACTATCGACCACATTCACATTATTACAATCAACACAAGGACAATAAAGGCCTTTGCCACCCAGTTTGCGTTGATAAGCTAAAGCCCTCTCGCAAAACTCTTGAACCCCATTCCAAAATTCCAATGTATCGCATCTACCATACATCCAACCACGATCCTTCTCCATTAAGTAAATTGTCTCTAAACATATATAGCAACATATAATTTATAATGTGTAAGTGCTACATATTTTATGTAAATCAAATTCAAGTACAAAACGTGAATATACCATTCACATAGTGAAAAAATGCATGTTTCCAAAGGGTCCTTATCACTCCAACCTAACCCATCCTTGAATGTCTACTCTCACTAGTGAATGTATGTCAACTTTCCAATTTTAGAGAAAATCCGGCAGCATTTCCCCCTAGTTCTCCAAGTACACGATGTAGATAATTAATTGCCCACATATGTACCCAGAGAACATAGTGAGGAAATGGTAAGCCAAGATGTTCCTTAAAATCGAAAAGAAAACATACATCCACCACCTAAGTGAGAGTACACATTCAAGAACAGTCCCAACCGGGGTCTATTCAAGACTTTCTCCTAATGAGAAAGCCTTGAACAGGTATCTAGGCATATGATGATGCAGGTATTCTATATATTGTTATATTTATTTGCAATTAAACAATACACAAGTTGAAATTTCATGAATAAACTTTTATTAAATGGATAAATAGAAAGAAATATAGCTAAGTAAAGTTTATAAGTCATACCAATATAGCAACTACCCACTTGAGCTCAATATGTAGTCCTCAAGCTAATTAAACTCGTGCTTCAATTCACAAATCTATTAAAAAAACAAAAATTAGCAAAGTCACTAATTCTCTAATATATTCACAATTCTCTAATGTATTCACAATTCTCTAATTTATTCACAGCTAATTAAGTGGCAATATCACAATTCTCTAATTTAATCACCATTCTCTAAATTATTCACAATTCTCTAATGTAATCACAATTCTCTAATTTATTCACAATTTTCTAATTTATTCACAACTAATTATTAACAAGGTCACTAATTCTCTAATATATTCACAATTACCCATTAAAATAACCTAAAATTACACATAATAACATAGCAAAATTCAACTAATTAAGTAACATTTTTACTAATCTCTACTACATTCAAAAGTACTCAATAAATCAACCTTAAAATAACCCATTAAAACATATAAAATTTTCAACTAAGGAACAATGTATAACAAAATTACTCTAACCTACAATATGTATTCAAAATTTCTAAATAAACAACCAATTCAAAAATTAAAAAAATTAGGGTAAAATTATGTACATTCCTTGACTTTAATTTGCTTAACAATAATTGTTCAAAATGCTATTGAAAATAATAGAATTACATATTTCAAAATAATTGTTCAATTTTTTAACAAAAAAAAAAGTTACCCTAATAAACTAGTTGGAGGTGAAAGAAGCTAAGGGGAGGAGAGATTGAGGACGACCCTAGTAATGGAGGAAGCAGCGGTGGTGCGCAATGGTGGAGGCAGCGCTGCGGTGGAGTGGTGGAGGTGGTGCGCGATGGTGGAACAAGCAGCAATGGGTGTTGAGTTTCGAACAATGCAAGGGATTGAAAGAGAAAGAAAGGGAAAACAAAAGGGCAGGGGAAGAATGACAGAGAGGGGCGGTGGTTTTCGACACCTCTGGTGGCCGGTGAAGGTGGCGGCTGTGGTGGAGGGAAAAGGGGGAGGCACTTCAGTTCGCTCTAGTGAAGCTAAGGGATAGAACGAATGAAGGGAATGAAAGATAAATAGAGGAAGAAGAAAGGAAAGCAGCTTTTTTTTTATTTGAATTTGGCACGGGTTCAAACCGGTGCCTTTTTAATTTTTGGCACCGGTTCAGGCCAAACCGGTGCCTTTTCTCTTTTTGTAAAATCCCTCCTATTTCTAGACCGGTTTTGGCCACCGGTTTGGCCTGAACCGGTGCCATATGGGGGGTGCCTATTGCTATTTTTCTACTAGTGTATTTTTTTTATTTGATTTGATCTAGACTTATTTTTTCTAACTGATTTGATTGTTTGATTTGATCCAATGTTGACCTTTGTATATGTAAGCTATATTATAAAGAAAAAAACTATCAATTAGGATCTTTTTAGGTTCATAATAATATGTATTTTATTAATATACAATTTTTATATTTGTTTTTTCATTCCAAATTTAAAGATATTTAGCGGTTACAAATTTTATTAATATACAATTTTTATATTATAAAGAAAAAAACTATCAATGTTGACCTTGTTTAATGATAAAGCATGTTCATAATTTTTTTTTTCAAATCTAATTTGATCTTAAAATATTTTTTCTTGGTTAATCTGAAATAAGTAATAAGGTAAAGAACTAAGATGAATTAAACAAGGCCAAAAGTGAGTTATGCGATTAATTAAGTATCTTGTAGGCTTATTGAAAACTACAAGATCAGCACCAGTATTATTATTATTATTATTAGGAAAAATTGCTAAAAATAACACAACCTTTGTCCCATTCTTTTTTAATAATACAACCTTTTGATTATTTTATAATAATACAACCTTTAGGGGGTGTTCATTTTAAACAAGATAAAATCGAATTTTTGGTGAGTTTTGAGGTGAGAGAAGGGGAGGGGATATTCCATTCTTCCTCATCCCCACCACCTAAACCTCATATGTCCCCTTTCCTAACCTCAAACTCCACCGAAAATTTGATTTTATCTTATTTAAAATGAACATCCCCTAAAGGTTGTATTATTACAAAATAATCCAAAGGTTGTATTATTAAAAAAGAATGGGCTAAAGGTTGTATTATTTTTAGCAATTTTTCCTTATTATTATTATTATTAGGAAATTTTGCAAAAAAAACCACCTTTTATAAGCAATTTTTTTACAAGAAACCACCTTATAAATTTTATTTTGTAATGACACACCTTAATCAATTTTTTTTTTTATATATAGTGACACACCTTCATCAATTTTTTGTTGCAATGAGACACCTTTGGCCGAAAAAGAGGGTTTGACACTATTTTTCGGCGCTGACCAGACCACGTGCAAGGCATGTGACCTCTTAAAACTACTCTCCAACTACGCCACCCACTAGAACGACACCGAAATCGACTTAACTAGCCATCAAAATCGCCCTACCCACCCCACCACCACCAAAACCACTCTATTTGGTGGCGTTTTGGTGGGCAGCGTAGTTGGAGAGTGGCTTAAGAGGTCATGTGCCTCGCACGTGGTCGAGTCAACGCCTAGAAACAGGGTCAAACTCTCTTTCCGGCCAAAGGTGTGGCATTACAATAAAAAAATTATTAAGGTATGTCATTGCAAAAAAAAAAAAAATTATAAGGTGGTTTCTTGAAAAAAAAAACACTACTTATAAAAGGTGGTTTTTTGCAAAATTTTATTATTATTATTATTATTATTATTATTATTATTATTATTATTATTATTATTATTATTATTATTATTATTATTATTATTATTACGGCGAATTCAGGTTTATCTCCACGATAAACAAATCTTTGTTTATCAAAGGACGTAAGTGTCATTTCGCGTAAATAATAAGGGGCAAGGATGGGATTGTATTTATTGTCGTTACATCACCGTTAACTTTCAAAATAGACGGAAGTGAACCAGATTTAACCAGAGGTAAGGAATCGTTTTGTTCAGTTGTTGGACCTGGTTGGTGCCTTGACAATTTGGCGATCCAGACCTCGTTTCAGCAATTGTCGGCGGGAGACGGCGGCGTATTGATGGACGCGAACATGGTACGAAATACTTCCACTTATGTAATTGGTTTTTGCGCTTGTGTTAGTATTCTTTAAGTCAGTGATTTATTCTTTGTTAAATTCCCCCAATTTCTGTAATTTGAATACGATAAGTTAGGGTTTAAGTCAGTGGTTTATTCTTTGTTAAATTCCCCCAATTTATGTAATTTGAATACGATAAGTTAGGGTGTAATAAATTGGTGAAATTCGAATTCGTCAAGTCTAGTGTTCATTGATTGAACGTCCGTTGTATTAGGATGCTATGAGTATAATTAATGACTGGTTTACGCGTGTTAATAACTGTTTTTTTGTGTTTGTGCTTATTGAACTGGTGAATCATTTGTTTGTTGATTGAGCTGATGGAATGTGGGTTCGTGTAGCTTGTAGGTGTTTATTTCAATTAAGCAGTTGTCCTCTTTGTCGTAGGGTGTTGAGGAAGGTTTTAAGTTTGAGCGGAGATACAGGAAGTCTGATTTGTATCCTGGTTTATTCAAGGTAAAACCATATTGATTATGATGTATTAGTTTGTGTATGTTGAGCGTTTACTAGATGTGTAATGTGTTGTCCTGATGGTGTGTACTAGGACAATCGGTTGTCAGCTGGTGGGAAAGTGAAGGAGACTCATAGTGTTTGGAAGGAGCATTCTAGACATAGTACTCGGGTAAGGAAATTGATATATTTTTGTGTCTGGGTGTATTTGTTATTTGTTGGTAACGCTGTAAATGTACTGGTAATGTTGTTATTTGATTTTTCTTACCAGGCTCCTAATCTGACATATAGGATTGAGACTTTTGGGAGGATATGTAGTAGTTTTGATGATAAAAAAAAAATTGGGTGATGGAAATGGGTTTTGGTGGTTTGCTAAACATTCCTAGTGATCTGCAACTTCTGAGACAACTTGGTTATTGGTTAATGACCCGAATAGACCCCATTAGTAAGAAATTCATTGGAGGTGATGGAACAGAATTTAGGTTTTCAAAGAATCAACTGCATTGGGTTTTTGGGATTCCTAATGGTGGGAAACCTGTACCCACCACCAAAAGAATCGTTACTGATGAAGTTCGGGCAGTGAGCAGCCAGATTTTGAGCATGTATGGAAAATCATGGCAGAGTAAGTCTAGCAGGCACGTAGGGAGATTATATAATTCAAGAGGAATACATGTTGATTCAAATATTTTGGATAAGGTTGAGGGTCATTGAGGGAAGGATGAAGAAGTTCAATTTAAAAATTTGTTTCTGTTGCTGGCACTCCATATGGTACTTTGTCCCACACAAACGTCACGTCTAGCAGCATAACTCATTCCTGCGTTAACGTGTGCTCCTGATTGCTCAAGCTATGATTGGTGTGGACTTGTGCTGGATAATTTGATGGAATCTGTTTGTAGCTTTGCTAGTCATTTTTATGGCACTGGATTTGCTACTGGGTGTGGTGGCTGAGTCATTTTTGTTGTGGTAATTATAATTTTTGTGCTAATGTTTGTGGTTTATATAGCAATATTGCTTGTTTGTGTTCCTTCCTTTCCCTACTGATTACTTTACATATGCTTGTAGATTTTTTATCTTGACCGATTGAACAGAGATCCTGTTGATTGGGATTTTTTTTCCCCGTATTATGGTTTGGGACATGGCTTCCATTTGTAATGTAGCTAGGCAAGAAAGAGTACCTGATGGTGATTTTGGAAATTTTGGGGTATGGTGCTTTAACTTAGGGCCTATGTTTTGTGTATTAAACTCCTAAATACTTTATTGATACAGAAATATGTGTTGACATGTGTACTATGACATTTAGATGCTTGACGTGGCTTATGGAGAGCATCACTCAAGGGAGGCTAGAGATACAAAAGGACCGCAACTTGTATATCATGTGAATGTGAGAACAGTTATGGCTATTGTTTTGAATATTGGACGTCATTGTAACTTAGAATATGTGTATTTGATGTTGGTAGTTATTGTTTAATTATGTCCAGAGTGGCGGCAGCACCTAGAGAACGAGTGGAGTTAAAAAGAGGAGGAGAGCCAGGAGTGAGAAAAACCTTTTTATGCGAAACATGCCGAAGACAGAGTCTGAGATTTGTATTTCCAATTTGACACCCTTGTATGTTGGTCAATGTTCTACCGCCGCGTTTCCTTCGGTGAGTGTCTTTGGTAACTATTAATAACAACCTGTGTTATTAGTATCAGGCTATAGATATTAGTGTTGGTTGTTTATATTTCTTATTTGTTTTCTCACTCCACAGGATGTCATTGTCCATTTGAGCAATGGTCATAATGGAACCGGAGGTGCACCTCACAATGATGTTGGTGTTTGTGAGGTGAATGTTTTTTTCAAAATTAATGGCCAGCTGAATGTTCGAATTCACAGCTCCCATTGCTCTGATATTTTTATTTCATTGAAAAGGAATGAAATAGTTGTGCTTGGTAGTGGTTGCACGTATACAAATTTTGAAGACTTGATGAGAATGGTAAGTCCTATGATCATTGAATGGGAAGTCTGGAAGTGAACAAGTCTTAGCACTAATGTGTATGTGTATGGTTATTTAATCAGGTGGCTCATCTCCAATCTTCAATTAAGGATCATTTGAAATGTCCAACTACGGGTTGTTGTTGGCGAGTAAGGCAAGTTAGCAACATTCCAATTCTGCACAGAGTAAAGTGATACCATGTTATGCAATTAAACTGTGTAAATGAACCATGTTTGTTGGATGTGGGTTTTAGTGTAATAAAATAATTTTGACTAGTCTGTAGCATTATACTAATAATGTATGAAATTGAAATTTGTGGTGAGTTTGATCACATTTACTTTATTTGATATGTATAATTATTAACTATTTGTTCAACAATGAGTAACCAATTATAGACCCACTTAGCCATGATCACATTCACTGGGTCATCCCATCACATGCGGCCCAAGTTAAGTTTCTGTAGTCCGTCACATTTTGTGTATGGGCTTAGTCCATTCATTTTGGCGGGTGTTTCTTGGAAAAGTAGGTAAATTGTATTGTTTAATGTTTAACATTGTTGATTTAGTGGGATTTTCTCCCAAAACTTGCGCACATCAACATAGTGGGAGAAGCAGTTGAAATAACTAAGAATTGTGAATAAACTACCATTATAATTCAGTCCCTTAGTACATATATTAGTTACTGGCATAATTTATATTACACTAAATATCCTAGAGGAAACTAACTTTGACATTAATGAGATTGCTAAAATAAGAGTCCATCCACACCATACTTACTACAACGGACTTAATGCTAGTTTCTAGATGCACTGTACTATCTACCATGGACTTAATTTAATCAAAGCAAAATGGCATGGGATGTGCTACCACAACTGAAAAGGACATATATGCAAAAGGTCCTCAATCATCAAAAAACACATAAACAAACAACTAAAAATAATTTCCATGAAAAGGTAGGCTTAGGAACGAGTCTGAAATATCACACTAGAACTTGTGATGGAAGTATGACAATGGGTATGCATAGAATACATCCTTGTTTTTCATTTCATTTTTTGCAACCGTGTGATTGTCCGTGACAACCACACTATTGTGAGTCAAGATCAGCTGCTTCTTGTTAGCTGTTGTTAGCTCGCTCCAAAGTTTGTAGAGCCCATTCAAGTTTGCTCTTAATTTCCCGCAAACCTTGTGCACTTTGTGATTAGTCATATTATCCCTCACGTAAAAGATCTTGCGACTTGTGTCCATGTTGTCATTTGGATCCTGTACAATTTAGACATAATTCGGATTATTATGCGAATGTATAGTAACTCAATTCACCTTAAATGAGAAGGTGAAATTTTTTTTAAAAAAAAAATACCTTGCCATGAACATAAAGAACATCGGAGCTAACAATTCCCACTTCCAACGGGGTTGCTCCCATAGCAATAACAGCGTCTCCCTTCTTGATAGTAAGGTCTGACTCCTCTTCGTAGTCCACCTTGGTTGCGTAGTCTTGGTAGATGGATTGGAAGGGTTGATTTTGTCTGACTGTGTAGTTGACTCCTTTGTCTCCCTCCCTTTGGCTTCTCACATTCACAATGTAGAAGTACTCATCTAGCATTGCTCCGGGCGAAAGCCTCTCCATGTGGAGGTCAACTTGCACCGCTTCATTGTCACAGTTGTCAGGAAGGCATGGAAGGTGGTAGATTGGATCTTCATCCTCGTCTAGGTGAACTTGCACCTCTTCACCTTCGACTAAATTACGCGGCATCACCATGCCACCTCTCATACCCATCCCAACATGGTTTCCAGCAGACAATTGCTGAAGGCGACTCATGGCATAAGGTGATATCATTTGTTTCCTGACCTTCCTCTTAGCAACATAAGGTAGTGGAAGGACTGGAAACCTCAAATATTGCTAGGCGTTTCTTCTCAAGACAGTTGTGTACAAGCTGTCGGGACGTTTGTTTCGCTTTAAGCGATGTTTTTTAAGTGGAGGTTTTGGTAAGACTGTGGGCTTGTTTTCGACAAGAGACTTTCCATTGCTAGTCGAAATTTTGGTGCCATCCATGCAAAATGCGAAGGAAGAAGCCATGAATTGCCTTTTTAAGTTTGTTTCTCTTTCACGAATAGGACAGGAGGAATGTGTTTGTTCTCCAAAGCACTGTATCCTTTATATAATGGAATTATGTAGGGTCCGCATGCACAGTGAACATCCTTTTTATTGGCTTAGTGATATTTAATGTCCTAATGGTGTGTTACTACTATTGTAATTATCTGAGGAGGATATCAATGGGTATCCCCTAGTTGTTGATATGAATATAATTGTCTATTTGTTTATAAGTAAATATACAATTTTTTTAAAAAAAAAAAAAAGTAAAGAAGGCTAGTAATTACATATATCCTTATGTACTCGTTTTTGGCGGGAATTTTAATTGCTTATGAATATGAGACAGAGTAAAACATGAAATAATTGAGATATATTACTTAACCTTAATTCGCCGGATTAAATAATAAATTTTTAATTAATATTTTTTACTGTTTTAATTTTTTATATATTTTTTTTAATTTTTTTTTGTTGGTGTGGTGAAATAACATTGGTAGTTGATAGTTTGTAATAATTGATCAGATTATCTAAACTTTAATTAATTAATAATTTATAACATGCCCGTATATTATTAAGATGAAAATAAGAAGATACTACGATTAACAACATTATCCGAAGATTAATAATAATATATTAATGAGATCCATTCATTTAATTACATTAACAAAAGATTAATTAATATAAACAAAATATTCAGACGTACATTAATCTGAAAGATTTAATAATAATATAATACATGTACTGGTGCTTATTTAGGATGCTAATATGACATATACATTATTGTAGCAAAAATTACAATAAACACCACAGGCAGTATGAAGATGGACTCCCTAGACTTGACTTCAACTTGGTGACGGTCGTTTGAGCAGTGGTCGTCGTCGGTGAGTCGGTTGTTTCCTGTTACTTGCACATGATGTGCTGCTACCCACATAAAGAAGCCGCAATTCGTGCAAGTAAAATAAGCTCATCGTGGGTTCAGCTCTGACCCAGACACTCGAACGTGCGGAAACCGGGGAGGGCTGCAACCACAAAGTGGTGAGTGGATCACAATTGGTGGAAATTCATTGCGCGCTTGTCTTCGATTTATTTTCGGAAACATAATTTTTCCCTCTAATTTGTGTAATTGTTCGGAACCAAAGAGAATGACAATTTTTAGTTGGATACGAGTTCTGCCAAAATGAACAACCCTTTACAATTTAAATAAATTATAAAGACAACTTATTAATAACTTTATTGCTGTAAATGTGACAAGTGGACGGTCCTTGGTTAACTGGGATTTGTTGTTGTAATATAAACTATGAAATGTCTTCCTAGATTCCTAATTAAGAAAAACAATCAGATTATATCAATTCCGTGTAGCATAATTAATTATAGCTGGAGTTATTAATTATTAGATTCATTGATTAATTAGCTTAATAAACCACTGAAAGATTTATGAATGTATTTTTTCATGTACTTGAGTTAATTACAATACGGTTCAATGTAATACCAAATACCTATTTTATTATTAGTGTTGTCGTATGTAGTACAAAATTATATTTTTTTAATTTCACTTTGTCGTATGTAGTACCAAATTATAATTTTTTAATTTCACTTTACTAATAATTTTTAAGCACAATGTCAGCTTGGCACAATAAGTTGCATATTTGGTAATATAAAAAAAAGATATTGTACAGTTCAGTGCTACTTTGGTGTTTGCTTTTACCGCATAGACCTTCTGCGGACTGTATTGTAGGAGTCGTGGATACCGAGTGAAGCATGCGTTAGTAAAAGTTTGAGTTGTCACATCAAATTTGTTGGGGTTTATTGAGTCCGACTCACCGCGGAAACAAACTCCTACCCGAGGAACCACTCGCAATAATTAAAATCATAAAGCATAAATAAATAATCACAAAGAAAAGATTACGAATCTTACCCTCGAAGCAAGCTTCGCCCAAAAACCGGGGCTCTTACTTGAAAGCTACGAGCACGTCAAGCGCCGCGCCTTCGACGGTATCCACCCAAAAAAAGGCGAACACAACTTTAAGGTCTACTACCTGGGGGTTAGCGAGGTCCGACCAAAATCCGAGTGTTATATGAGTTTAAGAGTTTTCCCAAAATTATGGAATGCTCTTTTTAACTCCCACTCAAGCAAAGAATTCTCAAGCCATTCCATGACTATTTATAAGGAAGTATGCCTTGTGAATTTCACTCATCTTTCAATGTGGGACTTTTAACAAAAAGATCCCACATGGAAAGATTGGTGAATTCAACCCTTAGTTAAATAAACAAAGGAAAAAGTAACAAGTGTCACATGGTTAGGTGTGGACCACTTTCTCACTTGGTCCCCAAGGCATTTCACATGCAATGTGAACTAACCATGTGTCACCCAACCTTGAGCCCCAAGTTGGGTTAGGTTGGCCCATTTTATTTTGGCCCGTGTCCATGACCCATCAACCCGGGTCCACGGTCATTGCCACATGTGTCGCCACCGTGGCGCGCCGCCATCATGGTGTTGCCACGTGGCACGCTGCCAACGTGGCACGCTGTCACTTGGTGGCTGCCACTAGGTGGCTGCCAACATGGCTGCTGCCACTTGGCGGCGGCCACGTGTGCTGCCACATGGCGTTTTGCCATGTGTGCTGCCACATGGCGTTTTCCTATTGGGCACGCATTCCTAGCCTTTTGCGTGGCTAGGATTTTACTTGTTACTTGATGCATTTTCCAGTCTCGCCAAATCCTAAATTTTGGCTCGACATTTGAGATTCTCCGACGCTCGGTTTCGACGCTCCAAGCTCGAATTTCCGACGTCTAAATGTTTAACACTCGGGCGACGAATTAATTTCTTCCGAATTAATTCGTCGAGTTGGTTCGTATATTTTGCTTGGGTGTGACCCGAAGGGTTCAGTCAAGATTAAGCTGTAATATTAATTATATTAATATTACTGATCGGAAGGGGCCTCCACCCAGGCATTCCGATCACTTGACCTTACTGAATATATTAGCTTTCTAATAATTCTGAACCCGCTATCAGAATAATACACTTGTCCGAAGGACACCATTCCTTTTTCATCAGAAGATTGTTGGGACTAACAAGTTAAACTCCTTCCATAAGCAATGTAGATGAGAGGCTTGTCTGTTGTCACATGTCCTAGGAAAAGGTAATATACTTTTTGTAAAGTATGATGTTTTACGGTTTGCAAGGTATTTTTTCCCGCGTAAAAGCACGAATATTCATTTGTTGGGAAACTTCGTTAAGTAAGCTGGGCATATGTTACGACGTCAGTGTGTCTTTGAACCCTTTAACCATTTTC